GTCACGTATGTACTTACAGCGCCCTGCAAATCTAGCCCCATCGATTTATACTCGGTTTTCCGATGTTCCATTTACCCTTCCTCTGTTAGCAATGGATACCATTTCAAAACAGACTTTCCGACAGTTCGGAAGGAGGAGATGTAAACGAGAAGTTTATTGGCCTGACGTTTCGAATTCTGGCCTGAACCCCTCATCAGAGACAACCGCAGGAAATGGGGATGAGGGCACAGGGCGTTCAGTGTCCGTAGCGGCCACGCGACTTCATGTGATCGTCGGTTGGAGCAATGATTAATGCGATGATGGCTGGGCAGTCCGCGTCCGTGATTTCATCCTTCGTGTTGGACGTTGGCGAGATAAGTACGCCAGTGAAAGGGAGGACGAAGTTGCTGCATTACAATATTTTTGACGAATATTGAGAGCGAGTGGCCATTAATGACTCGGACGCGGCCTGCCGGAACATCACTGCATCAATCATGACCCCCCACGCGATGATAATGAGAGCTGATAATTTTAGTACGCAGGTGGTTGCGTGTCCGCTACGGATAGTAAACACTTTGTGTAACCTGTGTATTTATCACCTTTTTCTGTGATTTTATCTGATTATGAGTACAAGTCGGAATTCGAAAGCTTAAGCCAATAAAAGTATTGTTCCAGCGATCATATCTCCCCCTTCCTGGACCTGATCTATTCGTTTCCAAACAATATTTGAACCGGTCTGTCACAGTATTTGAGGATCTACCCGTAAGCTTTGACGCTTCTTTCGGGGGCATTCTGTTGTTCAAGAAATAGACTAACCCTAAAATTTCACAGATCTTCAAATCACAATGGTGTATTCCCTTCAAACCCTAATAATAGAAGAAGTCGTTCGCCTTTCTTACTGATCGAACAGACTGACAATCCTTCCTTCTGCGTTTCCATATTCCATATTCATCCATGGATCTTTTTTGTTTGTAAAAGTCATCAGCCCTGTTCTTGTCGGCAACATGTCAGAGAAGGCATTGCGACACCACTTCTTCACTATGCCCTACTTTAACCCAAAACTCTCGTAGCAACATACTGAAGGGTATGTTGCTGTATTATTTAAAAAAGATTAAGGTAGGAATCACGGTATAGTAGTACCGAAAATTGCCTAGTTAGACGGGCTTGCCTGCTAACTTTGGAAATCCTTCCAAGCTTACAGGCCTTCCTGTCTCCCCTGCTGATAATATTTTTCTTATTAGCAAGCCATGTCCGATATTTAATTGTACCTTTCTATTTTACTACAGCAAACTGAGGATCCAAAGAGGCGCCACACGTACAACAGGTAAATGAGTAAATTTGCAGACGTTAAAACACACAGAAACAGTAAGGATAAATGACGTCAATTCAAAGGTAAAGTTTACCCAACGGGACCTAGTCGCACCCTCAGAATCCTCGTATGGCACCATGATTGTTCGACCATCGATTTCTATGATGTCCACCATATGCTCAAGAACAGGGATGGTGACTGTAGTCAGGTATAGGGAGTGTAAACGAGCAGCCATCTACCACACTCTAAACCCTCTCCCCACTTGAACCGGTGACAAGACAGAGTCGAGATGACCGAGCATGAATCAGGCGTAAGCCACTTTCTCCAATGCAGGCCAGAAACACCACCTAGCT